AAAATGCCCCGCGAGCCCTGGCCCAGCGGCAGTCCGGGTCTTCAGCGGCATTTCGGCGGCGGGGGCTCTTCAGTTGCTCCGCGTCTCTGGCATCACTGAAGGGCCCCCATCCGCCGAAATGCCGCTGAAGACTCGGACCGCCGCCGGGTGAGTACAAGCCCCGCAGCTCCCCCACTTTGCCCCAGGCCTCCTGAATCCTCTGGGCAGCCCTGTTCCAGTTTATCTCCCTCCCCCATTTCCATTGATTTCCATGGGCTGCCAATGGGCCCTTGCCGAGTGTGAATTATTTTAAAGTAGTAGTAGTATTTAAATTAAAAACAACAACAACAGTGAATCTCACAGCAAAATATAAATGGGCCAGACTAACCAATACTTTTATCTTTGGATTTTATTGTAGGCAACCTTACACCTGGTTGATACTATGGAGTTTCCGAGTATTATTATGGTGGGACCCCGGACTGACAGGAGTCTAAACTGATGAAGAAGTTGCAAGGCTGGATCAATGATGAGAGTAAATAGAAACGTAAATCTGGATTAGTCTGGGTGGGATCAGTTCATGTGAGTAATGGTGTTATTTTTCAGAAGGCTTCCCAGAGGCACAACATTTCCAAGTACATCTATATTTTTAACATTGTCATTTAACTACACTTTGTTGATTATTTATTCTTGCCTGTTAATTTGTTAAAACAAAAGCAAACAAAAGGACAAGTACCCTTTCACGGTACTTGGTATCAAAGAAATCTTAAAGGGCTGGGTAGTGTTTTTCAGGGTGGGGAGTTAAAATTTTATACTTTTAAAAAATGCCTACTAATTGCCTATCTAATTTGTCTAGACATTTTGGGTGGGTCTTTTAAAAGGTATTCCCCAATAATTGGTTGGCTAACACAAAAATACATTTAAAATGTAGCACTAGTGTATAAATATTAAAAGGTAATGTGCACCAGCCAGTCTGCTATGCACACATATATGTAGTTTTGTCAGTGTCACACTTGTTCCACCACAGACTATCAGGGCCTCTCATGTAAATCTGTCTTCCATTCCTTTCTGATCTTGCAAAACATAGCAGTTCCTCCAGGTCAGTCACTACTGTGATTGGCCTGATCCTGAAAGCCCTTGCTCAAGGTTACAAGAGTAATCCTACCGGTGCAGCTATCTGCTTTTCATATTAATAAGAGCGGCAGGCCCTAATTTGGACAGATCTTTTAGACTTATCATTGTATGCTTAAATGTAGGAAGCTGATTTCCCTAATATTAACACCTTATTTGAGATGCATGAATAAATCTGAAAATGAATCCTATGGTCATTATATATTAGTGCTGTCAGATTAAATAAAATAGAAGCAGAGCCACCCAGGGAGTAGTTGAAGACACAGGGCCCAATCTTGTTCCTGTTTGTGTCAGTAGCAAACTTCCTATGGTGAAATCCTGGCCCCACTGAAGTCACTCAGTAGGAGTTTTGCCATTGACTTCAATTGACCTAGGATTTAACTTCTAGTGATTTAAATTGGATAATGTTGGAGTGTCTATAATAGTAACAGTTTTAACTAGAACAGGGCACGTATAGGAGCCTCTGTAATAAGGATCAGGCAGCAGCACTAAAACTCAACACAAGGTGAAAGCCTGGACGCAGTCAAGTCCATTGAAGTCAATGGGAATTTTGCCATGAGCACATGATTTCACCCACTGTGTGCATACTGCAAGGTTCAACACTCTGTTGGCTGCTGGGTGGTTTGGCAGGGTATTGAGTTTCTCCCGGTTATTATTCTTAAACTCTCAACCCACTTCCTTAAAAGGTGGTCTCCAAGCAGAGTCTATTCAACCAGCTCAAACTGCAAATCTAGATAGGAGCCTATTCCGGGTCCCATGGAAGGGAAGGGTTGGGTTTGGGTCAGGGCTTTGCAGATTAGTTGACATCCTGAATTTAGTAGGGAGGGAGGAAGGAAAGAAAGAAAGAGGCTGTGTTCACGGTTATGGCAAGTAAGGGCTCCGATGATTTGTGCAAAGAAATAGAGTGAAAGCTGGTAAGTGTTTGGTTTTATACTCGGCCCCATTATCCGCATGTAAGTGTCCGTATAAAATATTGTCGCTATGTACGGGGAGATCGCATCACAAACACAGCAGGCAGTTGCACGCCTAGGCGACTCCGCAGAGCCAGCGTTAGTGCAAATCCTTCTCTGAGTCACAGGCCAGCCCCGCGGGTTCAAACGGGCAGCAAGAAGGCCCCGGAGTCTCTGTAGCCCACAAAGCAGGGCGCCTGCCAAAAGCCAGGCTCCCCCCGGAACGTGCTGGCGGGGCTCAGGGCAGAGGCTGGCAGTGCTGGGAAGGCGAAGCTGGCGGGTACGGCCTCCTGCCTGGGGAGGTGAGCCAGGAGCTGCTGCTGAGCCGGGTAGACGTAGTGCAGGGGCAGAGTCCCGGCCCGGGCTCCGAAGGGGACGGGGCTGTAGAAGGGCTCCGGCCTCATCTCCTGCAGCTGCCGCTTCAGCTTCATGCGCCGGTTCTGGAACCAGGTCTTGATCTGTGGGGAGGAGAAACAGTGTCACCCAGGCGCCCCCAGAGAGCCCGGCCCGGGCTCCGCCGCCCTGGCCCGGCCTCCAGCCAGCCGCGCGGCCCGCTCACCTGCACTTCGGACAGCTGCATCTTGGCGGCCAGCTTGCGGCGCTCGGCTGAGCCCAGGTACTTGTGGCGCTTGAAGGAGCTCTCCAGGGTGCTGATCTGCTCCACGCTGAAGGCGGTGCGCAAGCGGCGGCTGCCCCTGCCGCCGGGCTCCTCGGGGGACTGGCACTCCGAGCGGCCGCCCTCCCAGTCGGAACCGGACTCCGCGGCTCTCCACGCCCGCTTGGCTGCGGCTGGTGCTGCTGGGCACAGAGAGGAACCAGGTCAGCCCCGCTCAGAGCACTCCAGTGGCTGGCGACTTAGAGGGGGCTGCAGGGCTCACGCATCCCTCGGCCATTATACACCACTGAAGGACGCCAGCTGCGGGCAGATGACAAAGGCTTTTCCTGGCACGGAAATCAGCAGTTTTCCGAGGCGATTCTTATCTCCTAAACGGAAGGGCTCAGCTAGTGCCTTGCACCCACATAGCTCCTGGCCCCACAGGCACTCCAAGCGTGCTACCACGGTCAAACCAAAGGACTCCCTTTGGAGGCTGGCATAGGGAGATCAGATGACTTGCCCACTGTCAGATCTGGAACCTGTGGTAGTCGAGGAAATTGAACTCAAGGGTCCCGACTCCCCGTCCTATGCCCGGTCACTTAAGACCATCCCCTGGGTCAAATCCCAACTCTACTGAAGTCAACGGCAAAACTCCCACGGGCTTCAGTGGGGCCAGGATTTCACCCTTTGTGTCCCAATACACTTAGCAAAGAATAATGCACAATTCTCCTCCCTCTAATCGCTGTTATAACTTAACTCTCCTCCCTCCCTCCCTCCCTCTACTTACTGAAGAGACAACAAGGGCAAGCATACATTGGGATGGTCTATAAAGCACAATAGTAGATGCAATTATAATCACCTATAGAGGAGGAAGAATCAAAAAGCTTCTCACTCCTGGGGTCGTTCTTAGAAGAGGTGTCCGGGGTCTTTATACGTTCACCCTTCTTCCCTGTTTGGCTTGCGGTTTGGTGCGGTTGTGGGTTTGTTCTGGAGTTGCAGACTGGATTTCCGACCCGGGTGAGCAATCCATGTGATGCAAAAGTCCTGCCCTGAGTGCCTTCTGCGTAGCTACTGGGCCTTTGCTGTGGTTCATAGCTGTCCTGGCTGCTCTGGGAAAGCCACTCTACAGAGAAAGGGGCCTTGGTCATCCTGGCGGTCTTCTATTTCAACACAAACTAGGGGAGGATGGATTTTTGAGCAGCAGAGTCAGAGAATGCCTCTCTCTGGGTTGCTTCTTTTATAAAGGGAGTCCCAAGGAAAATGTTGTTTGTGTAAACAAACATCAAAGGCCCAGATAAGTATCGTCTAATTGCCATCAGGTCTCCCCCACAAAAGATGTTGTTCACACATTTTCCAAAGCTCGGTTAGGGTTGGCTCCACAATGTCTGCCAATAGATTAGTGAACTCTGTTGTAAGTGATTTACAATACTTGTTACATCCTATCCCTATGTAAATGGCACTTATTGCTTGAACTCACAGAAGCTTCAAAAGACAATCGGGAATTTAAAGAGCTTTTCTCTAAAAGGATCGGGTGTTTAGAAATGTACTTTATTTAATTCATATTTTAAGAAAACTATACTTGAGTGAATTGGTAATTTCTACTTTCTGCAGACAACGGAGTACCAATTAAGATTTCCACAGGTCTAATTTAAGTTTGAGATTTTACAAGTCCAGAAATTAGGTTTGTTAAGTTTTATACATATATGTTTTAACAGCTAATTATGAGCCATTGTTTTACTTGGACTGTTTTGACAGGGTGGAGGGGAACTTACTGCTTTATGGATATATAAGAAAAAGTCCCTGCCCCAAAGGGCTGGCAATCTAAAGACTTGATCCTGGATTTGACTCTGTGCAGTCAGACTGCTGCACTCTCACAGAGCCTTATTGACTTCAATAGGGGATTTGCCCACACACATAACAAATTGCAGGATTAGGCAGTACACACATCTTATTGCTGGGCATAGTGCTTGCTTGCTACAACAGCCATTAGTATTTAGTTGCGGGATGAAATCCAATTCTACACACACTTCATGCACAGAACTCCTTTTGACTTCACTGGGATTGCTATGGTCTACCACTTGCAGCAGCATCAGTCAGACTATAAATTACAGATATAGGAAGAGATGGTATAGCTGGTGATCCCAGGATATTAGAGAGACAAGGTGGATGAGATAATATTTTACTGGGCCAACTATGGTCCAGCAAAAGATATTACTTCACCCACCTTGAATGTCTAGACTCAGGAAGAGACCTCAGAAAGGCAAGGGTGTGAAATAATCGGCATGTAAATTGGAGTGTTTAAGTAGGCCAGCTTCTTCTTGATTCCCATTTTCTATTATATAGATAATGTATATATTTTATGTAATTATGGATTTATTCTGTTTGTTCATTTTCATATCATATTAGTGTAATAGGACTGATTTTAGATTCATATATGTACTATATAACTAAGAAAGGACAATAAGTGTCCTGGCTAAATCTCAGGCTTTGTATTCCATCCTCATCTGCCTTGCCCTCTCTCATGCTTTTGCATTGTTGATCACATTCAGCTTCTTGTCCTCCTTTGGCTTTCAAAACTATTCTCTCCTCCTTCTATTCTTACCTCTCCCTTCAGACACCCCTTGGGCAGGACCTCTGTACCTCCCCCTCCCCCACTATCCTTGTCTTCTTGCTCTTCTGTCTATGCCCTCCTTCTGTGGGCTCTCCTCTGATTGCTCAATTTCAATAGCCACCCTCCCTCCAACTGTATCTTTCCACTTCCGATTTCTACAGTAAATCCTGAAACTTGGCCTGTTACTCTGACACACCTGCTGGATTTCTCATTATTCACTTCAGTTTAACATCTCCTGACCTGTCATTTCTGTCACCATTGACAATGCCACCATCTCCATCAATCAAATCTGTAAGGGAAAGGTTCATCTTCCATAACTCCTGCCCAGACCCTCATCATTTTATATTTTATTTACTGCAACCTTCCCGAAATCTACAGCACACTCTCCAGTCCATTCAAGACAATTGGTAAAAGCATTCTCCTTTCCCAGCACTCCTGGCACTTCATCCTCCTTTTTGAATCCCTCCACTTAACTCACTGCATGAAGTTCAAACTTGACTTTTAAGACCCTTCACAGATCTGCCCCTCCCTACTTGTTCACACTGTCCTACTCTGCTCTGCTGGTTTGTCAGCATTTCACACAAATCTCTGTATTTTCTTCCACACTGCTCCTTATGCAAGGAATTCCTATCCTGCAGCACTTTTTAAGGCCTCTACACACTCCTTCAAATAACTGTTCAAGACTCACCTCTACTAAATTGCCTATAAAAAGAACAGGAGTACTTGTGGCACCTTAGAGACTAACAAATTTGTTTGAGCATAAGCTTTCGTGGGCTACAGCCCACTTCTTCGGATGCATAGGAAGAAGAAGTGGGCTGTAACCCAT